CCTAATGACTCTACAAGTTGCGCTCGAACTAAAAGGGTTGTGGATGATGATTCTCTGCACCGAGGATTTGGCGACTATGTCCCCTAAAACCCTAGTCGACCTTTAAAAAAAGGAGTATATAAAGTACTTCTCCCACTTCCCTAGCGTGCCTTCGTGGTGTAACAGTAGCACGCTGGGCCGGTATTCCAGAGGTCCGTGGTTCGATTCCCGGCGAAGGCGGTTACATATTTTTCATCTTTTCTGCTTCCAATTAACCTAATGACTCTACAAGTGGGGCCCGAACTAAAAAGGTTGTGGATGATGATTCTCTGCACCCAGGATTTGGCGACTAGGTCCCCTAAAATCCTAGTCGACCTTTAAAAAAAGGAGTATATAAGGTACTTCTTCCACTTCCCTAGCGTGGCTTCGTTGTGTAACGGTAGCACGCTGGGCCGGTATTCCAGAGGTCCGTGGTTCGATTCCCGGCGAAGGCGGTTGCATATTTTTCATCTTTTCTGCTTCCAATTAACCTAATGACTCTACAAGCTAATGCCACTGCTGAACAAGGACGAAAGGCATAATGCAGTAATCTATCGATGTTGTTAAATTAGAAAATACAGTCGAACTCGTTTATAATGATCTTGAAGCGACCGCGAGATTTGCTCATTATAACCTAAGGCTCCTAAAAAATGATTTCGTGAAAAAATAATCATAAAATTTCATACATACTTACATTATTATAAATATTTTAGTCCAAAGGGACTTTGCCCTGAGGATCTGTTTTCGAATCACTTACCGATTCACTATTCAAATTGTTGCCACCTAATATTATCGCCCAGTATTATAGTTGAAGAAACTAATAATGAAGAATTTGCTTGAATGTATGTATTTTTCTCACAGTGTGATGAAACAAAGGTACCTAGAGCCATCGAGTTTTGAATGACGTAATTCTATTGCGAATATGAGCATCTGGAAGCCCAAATTTGAAACTTGGAATTTTTTTTATTATCGATTTCATGTTTTGCAAAACTTTAACGAATTTTTCATTAACAAACACAGGGATTTCAAAGCGAGCAATGTCAATGTTGTACAGAAAAAAAGGATTTTTATCATCAGCGTTTCAGACTGTGTATCAGAAATTCTAAAGATACGCTCAATTTAAAATTATTTGATGTTATTGCTCTTGAACTGAATTTTATGGTTTAAGTGCGAAGATCATGATATCTAATAAATAAAGTTAACACGCAAAATGTTATAAAAACTCCTCTTTGGAAATAATTTAAAATATGAAACCTTTCAGAATTTCTTTTTATTGATTTTTTTTTCCTCATTTCTATGCAGTACAAAAGAAGCTGGATAATTTACTTTGAACTGCCTGATTGTCTCTTTCTTGTGTTATTGTTCTTTGGAGTAGACTCAGGGCCCGAAAAACTTCGTCATTTGCACCCCTGGCTTCGAAAAACTTCTGAAGTTCTTCTTCACACTGAAAAAGCCATTGAGGACGTTGGGGGCGGCTCAGCTTGAAATTATTCACATTCGTGGCGTTTATCAACGCCGCTTTATTATTTTCTCCGTCTGCCACAATTTGCAGCCACAATATCCTTGGAAGCAGTTGACAACATTTGCGTCAACATACATATAATTTTCAAATTCTTCTCTGTTCATTTCCAAATTCTCCAAGACGTCTATGTCTTCTTCTTTCTTAGTGATTTGTCTCACTTGAGAAATGTCCAAGCCAGCTTTATGGAAGCAATTGGTAATGCATGTTGATGTAACGTTATTTTCCATGCATCGTTCATTAAATGTATCGCTTCGAGTACGTTTACATTAACATTTGAGGATGTTCCTATTTTTTCTCTCCTATCGAGAAGCATCAAAATCATCAGGTGCATCAAGTTTGATGTAAAACTTTTGATGATTCCTTGGTCCATAGGCTGAATAACACTTGAAGAATCATTAAGAAAAATTGAAACCTGATCACTCTCCAAGATAAAATGAAGCCGCCGTCATGCATGCGCAGGACTTATGACTCTTCATTAACCTTCGGTTGACTTCGGAATGTTAAAGAAATTTTTCCAAGAAAGGATTAGCTGACCTGAAGAAGTGGAACTCAATAAAAGTTGTATGAATCACAAAACTATTGCTAACTATAACCGAATTTGCTCGTTAAAAGCGACCAGTGTTTTCGATTGTACCAACCAAGTATTTTCGATTTATTCCTTAAATCCGGATTCTCGTTAAATCAGGGCTCGTTATAAGCGAGTTGTACTGTATTTGTTTTCTTACAGCATATTTCAGTTCAAAAGTTTTATTTCTGAAAAAAAAAAAAAATTACATTTCCGTCAATGATTATGTATACTCAATATTTGGCATTTTCTGTCAATCTCGTAATTCAGTACAAAGTCCGTAATCCAGATGTCCATTATCCGGAATGATCTATAATCCGGACCTCAAAGCCACAAACTTACGCATGCGCGTTTGATGCGCGCGTCCGCTACGCATGCGCGTAAAGCTAGTAAAGTGTTTACACATGAGTTCTTCCGATAGTGATGAAAGTGACAGAGAGGTTATTATTGAAAACGAAAAAATTTCGATTGACAAGTTAGTCGGTATTCTCGACACAGCAATTACAGGATTTGAACAGTGGAACTTTGTAACTGAACAAGAAATTAGGTCTGTTTATAGAAGAGAGAATTCGAGAGAAAGTATTAGCACAAAAAACGAAGCAACTTAAACAAGTTACATTGAAAGAAATGTTTAATAAAGTAAACAAATAAATATTAAGCTTTTTTTTTTTTTTTGTAAATTTTGATGCCCTTTAGATCATAGTTGTTCTTTATTTCATAAATTACGGTTTCATATTTTTAATTGTATAAGTTCTGCATGCCATCTTACCAGATTTAAATTGATGATCTATAATCCGGAAAAAACCCTAATCTGGAATTGCCGAAGTCCCGACGAGTCCGGATTACGGACTTTGTACTGTAATTATTTTCCTCAATCCACTGGAACAACTGTAAAGCAGTCAATATTATACAATTAAAACAATCGTCTTTGTATACTGTAAGTCTCAGCTCTGCTAAATTCTTTTAATACTTGATACTGATTCGTTTAGAAAACTTAGAACAAAGTAATTCTGCAGAACGCAATATTAAGGAAACAAATATTTCACTTTAAAATATCTAATTCCTCTTTTTGGAACTTGTATCTATGTTGTAAACGTATTCTACAAAGGCTCTCAATTTGACATATTTAAATATATATTTCCCAAGTCATATATATATACTCATATATAGTCATTTCTGTAGCAAATAGTTTATCCAATAGATGGCAGTATTTGCCAAGCTTCCTTTGGTAATTGTCAATGCGCATGCGCAACTTGAGTGTAAAAAAAAGTATGTTATTAGAGAACGAGCTTTCATTAAGTATATTGCTGCGCATTTTCGCTGTGTAAATAAAAGTATATTTTTGTAACATACAGTGGATGGACAAAAATATGGAAACACCTTGTGAAATGCATGTTTGAAAAGAAAGATTGATTTTAATGAAATATGTAGGTGGCGCTGGCGTTTTTGACTACTGACACCACCTATACAACTTCGTAAATGTGCTTAACAGTTCAGTTGTTGTCGGAGTACTGTTATGTGAGGTTGTCATTCCGTTATGTCAGAGTTAACAGACTTCGAACGTGGGCAAATTGTTGGAGCACGTATGGTAGGTGCTTCCGTAAGCAGGGTAGCCGAGGTGTTTAGTGTTTCAAGAGGTACTGTATCGAAGATTTATTCCGCATATTTGAAAAGCGGAAAAACATCATCTGCTAAATCACAGCGCGGACGAAAGTGTGTCCTGAGTGATCGTGACAGACGATCATTAAGGGACATTGTGACGAAAAATAAGAAGACCACAGCTGCAAAAGTTACTGCTGAAATGAATGTTGTGTTACCGAACCCTGTGAGTGCCAAAACAATTAGAAGGGAGCTTCATAAACAGGGAATTGCTGGCCGTGCTGCAATTTGGAAGCCACTCATCAGTGATGTTAATGCCCATAACAGGAAAAGGTGGTGTTTAAGTCATAAAGCCTAGACTATAGAGCAGTGAAAGCGAGTAATATGGTCTGACGAGTCTTCTTTCACATTGTTTCCCACTTCTGACCGAGTTTACGTCAGGAGAACGCCATCTCAAGCCTATAATACAGACTGCTTGTTGCCAAGAGTGAAACATGGCGGGGGTTCTGTTATGGTTTGGGCAGCCATATCGTGGTTCTCTGCTAGCCCCATGATAACTGTGTCAGGGCACATGACTGCCAAGACTTATGTGAACATTTTGGCCGATCAAGTTCATCCCATGGTACAAACTTTGTTCCCCGATGGTGATGGTGTCTTCCAAGACGACAGAGCCCTGTTCACACAGCTCACATTGTCCAGGACTGGTTTTCTGAGCACGAGGATGAGTTGTCCCATCTCCCCTGGCCACCACAGTCACCAGACCTGAATATCGAACCTTTGTGGTCTACATTGGAACGGAAAGCGCGTTCTCGTTATCCACCGCCAACATCGTTATCTGAACTTGCACCGTTTTGCAGGAAGAATGGTATAATATTCCCTTGGCAAACATACAAGAACTGTATTTATCCATTCCGAGAAGACTGCAAGCTGTTTTGGATGCCAACGGGTTTCCTACACCATATTAAGCAAAGAAACATGTTTTTTTAAAGGTGTTTCCATATTTTTGTCCAACCCCTGTTATGTTCTTTATTCTCTAATGCGAAGCACTAGATTAGTGCAGAATTTCTACTGATTCAGAATCCATTTTCCAACATCACCCCAATATTCAGTCATATAAGATTCCTAAAAGGTTTAGCCAGTGTATTTAAAAAATATTTATATTTCTTGGTTATATTCATTTTGTTTCGTTCTGATGAAATTAGAAGATGAAGGCGAAATTTATTTCTTAAAAACTTAAATTTAAATTTAATGTCACTAAGAGGATTAATGCTAATAAAAGAAATTACATCTTTATTTAAGGTTACTTGTACTACCGTAAAATTGGTTTGGCTTCTCCAATATCATCTCCAACAGCGCTCCAGGTAAAGTGTGCATTTCTATAACTAATTATCATGATAATTTTATTATTCATAAGAAAGAAAGTATTATACCTGTTGGTGAACCAGCTAGTTCATTAAAATTATTACATTTGGTTTATTTGATTATGGCAAAGCACTCGAGGGCTATCTGCCTAAGGAGAGGGATGCCTTCATGGAAGCCTTTCTAAAGGAAACTGGCTCGTATACACGTTACACATGGGAAAAATCAGGAAAACGCCCATGCAGCCAGCATGTTCTCCAGGATTCAAATCCAGAACCAAACTACCAGTGTTCAGCGATTTTACCACTATGCTGCTGGTGAGCCTAATTTAAAGTATTAGATCTACGACAAATGCTATAATCTGTCACTTTAAAATAATCAAAGTCGTTGCCAGCCCTCTGCATTTGCGATAGTGCCCACCAGCGGCCGAGCGGTAACGTCGCTGAACACTGGTAGTTCGGTCCGAGGTTCGAATCCCGCGAACAGGCTGGCTGCATGGGTGTTTTCGTGGTTTTACCATGTGTTACGTTTATACGAGCCATTTTCCCTTAAAATGTCCTCCACGAAGGCATCCCTCCCTTAAGGCAGATAGCCCTCGAGTGCTTTAACGTAATCTAACAAACCAAACCAAACCATTTGCGATAGTAACTCGTGTCGTCATAACCACTCATCATTTATTTTCTCCTCCTCGTTTGAAATTGTAGTTCAGATTAGTCTTCATTTGCACGCTTTATGCGAAAGGAAATAATTATCCATAATAAACTATTATTTGAGTACTGAAATAATCTTACATGAGTTTATAAGGTATTTCTCCCACTTCCCTAGCGTGCCTTCGTGGTGTAACGGTAGCATGCTGGGCCGATATTCCAGAGGTCCGTGGTTCGATTCCCAGCGAAGGCGGTTGCGTATTTTTCATCTTTTTTACTTTCAATTAACCTAAGGACTCTACAAGTTTTAGGTACATGAGATTTAGAATTTTACGTAATAAGTAATTTATATTCAATTTCGGAGAATTCATTTAGTATAGTGAAACCTTAAATGAACGTCATCTAACAATCAATATGAGTACTTATAACATAGGAGCCTGACTTCGAAATTGATTATTCCTGCACATTTCGATTACTTTTTTAGGTCATAAATTTTCAGTAACGCAAAAATTAGTGTGTGTATTTAATTACGGCAAAGCACACGAGGGCTATCTGCCTAAGAGGAGGGGTGCCTTCGTGGAGGACTTTCTAAGGAAAACTGGCTCGTATACACGTTACACATGGGGAAAAACACGAAAACGCCCATGCAGCCAGCCCGTTCGCGGGATTCGAACCTCGGACCGAACTACCAGTGTTCAGCGACTTTACCGCTCAGCCGCAGCAAAAATTAGAAAAGACCAAACAAATAGAACTGAGAATGATCGATTTTAGGGCTTTACTTATTCGATCTTTTTTTCCTCAATGGTCGGCACGAATTGTCATAGACATTCAACTACTAAGACCGGAAGCTGTGGTTCTTTCATCATGGAGACATCTAATAAGTAGACCACCGTTCCCAATGAAGGGACAGACAATTTACATGCATGTCTTCTCCGGGATTCGAACCTGGGTCTACTCGATCATTTCGGTCGGCAGCCAGAGTCTATTTATTATTTCTTCTTATATCAATGTCCTATCTAATAACCTTCTAAAATCTATCAGTCTCGACACATTCGTTATTTAAAAAGAAATCTGTAATGTTAAATGTTTTGAATTTTTGTTAGTAAAAAAGCGTAGTGTTTCCTTTATTTCTGTTATTTAAGCATATGAAAACGAGAGAAAAGCTATAAAAGTTTTCCCATGGGAATATGATACACCCAGTCATTTTCAAATATTGGTCAGAAGCAGAAATATTTTTGCTGACAAAATGCGACTGCGTCTAAAAATCGGTCTCAAAATCGATAGTTTGGCCTAAAATTCTATGCACAACTAATGTTTTTCATGTTCTTTGCCTGATACTAAATTTTACGTTGACGTGTTTCTTTTCCATTTGAAAATTCAGGGAAAGAACAAACATGTAAATTATATTTCCTTGAGCTCTAGTGGCACATTTTCTTTATGAAGGATGTTTTTTGTAGATAGATATAGATATGCACACGTATATATATGTAATAATAAAATTCCATAGTCAGGAATACACTTAAAATTCTAACTGTAACGTTCTTTCATTTTTAATGGCGAGTTCTCTTATTTGAAAGTACGTGGAATAAATCCACAGCCTCGTAGTCAAATTGTTTTCCCGCCTTTTCTACACGTACAGTTATAGAATGTTCTGGAAATATTTAAAGCGAACTGGATTGGCTGACGAGGCTGACATCATTTTCTTGGAAGCTCGCCTTTCCAGAGGCTATAAAAGAACTCGCAAAAAGAATATCGGGGCTTTTTTCTTAAATGTCACGATGCAGTAAACTTCATACAACATGTTATTAGTAGTTCTTTTTTTTTACTCCGGATATCTGATTTTGTAACTGCTATTTTCCTGACAATAATAAATGGCTCCTGTTTTTTAAACTTATTGATATTTAAGCTACGACTACATTTTGATTCTTCAACAATCAATTTATTCCTGACAAAACCTGGTACATCACATATATATAATTTATTTACTAATGGATTATTGAGCATATTATCTCCTTTAAAGTTAGCAGAATTGTAGTTGGATGAAGCTAACTTAGAAGCATTTAAAACTGAATCATGAAAAGTTTTTAAAAAAGAAACTTCAATTTGAATGATGAATAATTGAAATGTAAACTTTTAAAATGAAAATTCGGCAGTAATATCTCACGATATAAGACATTCATAAGCTAAACCTCCTGTCTGGGCTGCGCGATCCAATCTTTATTTGCTTCATTAACCATTTCGCCTATCAGCGGCCGAGCGGTGAAGTCGCTGAACACTGGTAGTTCGGTCCGAGGTTCGAATCCCGCGAACGGGCTGGCTGCATGGGCGTTTTCGTGGTTTTCCCTATGTGTAACGTGTATACGAGCCGGTTTGCTTTAGAAAGTCCTCCACGAAGGCATCCCTCCTCTTAGGCAGATAGCCCTAGTGTGCTTTGCCGTAATCTCAATAAACCAAAAAAAAATAATAATAATAATAATAATCATTAACCTTTTCAATTACGCACAATTATCGATACATTGTATTGATGATACATTGTATTGACGCATACAAAGTTTTGGCAGAGGTGATTATTTACAGAGGTCGGTCACACATTTTTGTAAGGATTTTGCAAAGATTTATATGTAAACAAACCTTAGAATTTAGTTTTTTATTATGTTCTGTCCGATAGCCCTTTTGTTGAACTATCATATTACATCTGTAATATTTAATATTAATATCCTGTAATATTAAATAATATTAATTATGTAATATGTAATATTTAATTTAATTTTTTGAAAAAGTCCTTTTGTCAAAATATTGATGTTTAAGGGGCCTCATATACCTTAAAACCCCTTATGATCTTCGAATATGTGACCTATGCAAGAATTGAGATATTTTATTTATTTTAAAGCAATTGCTTCCAACATTTTACAGCTGTTTATATAACATAGCTGCTTTGGAAACTAGTAACCAGAAAGTTTGTGTTGCCACAAATATTTTTTTAATTTAATCCACTTTGTGACAAAATTTTTCGTCATGTTTCCAGCTTGCGCGCATGATATTTTAAAAATGGCTAATGGTACCTACTTGAAATTTGATGGAATTCTTTATATGGGCACTATTTTCTAACTGAACCAAAAATCTGATGAATATCTTAATATTAAAACATTTTATGCACGAAAACATTACAGATTTTTTTAATGAAATTACATTTTATAAACTCAAATCCAAATGAAATAAAAATTTAACATGAAATTATTAGAATTTGTGGTTCACAGTAGTTTCCAAATGTTATAAAAGCTATATATTAAATATGGAATTTGTCACAAAGTGGATTAAATTATAAAAATATTTGTGGCAACACACACTTTCTGATACCTGTTTCAGAAAGTATTATATTATGTAGTCAGCTGTAAAAAGTTTGAAATAGTTTCGCTTAAAATAAATAAGTTGTCCCAATTCTTGCAACAGTCACATATTCAAAGATCTTATGGGTTTTAAGGTGTATGAGTCCCCTTAAGAAAAGGTTGATTTTATTTCATTCCTCCTTCACAATTTTCCCGTGTCCATCCAATGTTTTCAGATGCCGCTTACAAAAAGCTTGTTTGAAAAGTCCAGATGAGCAATAATCTGTAGGAGACGCATCAGGAAACTCGGGTGGGATGAGTTTTTCAATTCCGTTTCATTTCTCATTTTTTTCAAAAAATAGTGCAGTATGGCATGGAGCCTTATCCCAATAGAACTTAACACAGTAAAGATTGTTTGGATAAAGAGATGGAATTTCTTCAAAAATAGATGTTAAAACAGATTTCTGATACTAATCCGAATTAATTTTTACATTTTTCGCTTAATTTTATGCTTAAATTTCCTGACGTATTCGTGCAGTATTACAATATCTCACAGTAGTTATCTTTTAACTACTCAAACGTTCAAGAGAACTTAATTCAAAACAGCTAGAAAAAACTAATCCGCGAATTCGCTACAAGAGCAGTTTACTAAATAAACTCTTAAAACAACAACAAACTAACTAATCCTCGAATTGAGAGGTTTTCCTCCTATTTATAATATTTTAAATCCCGCGCGAGAATTTTCTGGAACTTTCTCGAAATCAAAAAGAGATATTCATTTATTAAATGTTAAGTGCACGCGCTCTTGTATTTTTAACTTTCCGAGCTTTCTTTAATATTCGTCACGCGCTGCACTGCACGGGGAATAAAACAATTTAATTTATAATTCAACTAACGTTAGCTATTTAAATATGAAATCCGTAACAATATGTTATGCACAAGCTATGTTCATACTGCTATACGCATTTATATGGTTTAGAAATGTAAGAAAAAAAGCTCAGGAATGCGACGTATAAAAAAAAATACGAG